ACCCCATCTACTCGAACCCCGATGGGCGGGAGGGAAGGTAAGGGGCTCAGAAATATGCGCCCTCCCTCTCCCAGGAAAGAGGAGGCGAAGACGAGGGTGGAGCAGGGAGGGGGAAGGCATAGTCAACCCGTATAGAATAAGGACGCACGATAAGGATGCAAGGGCATGGGAAGGCCATGGCGACACTTTGCGAGCGGGGCGCGGCAAGCAGAAGCGGCCAAGCATGGGCCGAAGAAGGAAGAGCAACCCTGAAAGGTTTGCTCATCGCTACTATGCGGGTTGACTGTAGGTAGTGGTGTAGTATGATGGCTGTATGTAGTGGTGTAATATGATTGGGACCCGCAGGGGGTGGAGGTGCACGGTTTCCCCCGGGGTGGAGGAGAAGGAGGGGGAGGAGGAGGAGGAGGAGGAGGACGAGGAGGAGGAGGAGGAGGTGAAGGAGGGAGAGGGGGAGGAGGAGATGGAGGAGGAGGAGGAGGACGAAGAGGAGGAGGATGAGGAGGAGGAGGAGGAGGTAGGAGGACGAGGGAGAAGAAGGAGGGGGAGGACGAGGAGGAGGAGGAGGAGGAGGGCGGGTCGCCCAAGCCCTTCGGAGAAACCCTCCAGGTGGAGGGGGGGGAACGGCGGGCAGCGCCCGCGCAGGACGCGCGACCAACCCAGGGCGCGCAAGCCGCGCCTGCGGCCGCGCTGGCGGCTCCCCGGCGCCGCCCGCGAGCGGGCAGCGGAGCAGCGCGGCCGGCAGCAGCCACCGAAGGGCCCCGGCCGGCATCGCCCGGGGCCTGCCGGGCGGCCCGTCGCTGTCGAGTCGTCGTCGTCGCCGTAGCCGTCCGAGCAGCTGTTGCCGTCGCCGTCGCGATCGCTGCCGCCGCCGCCCCGGTCGTCGTCGTCGTCGTCGTGGTCGTAGTCGTGGTCGTCGTCGCCATCGATGTGATCGTGGTTCGTCGTGTCCGTGGTCGCGAGGACGTCGTGATCGTCGTGGTCGTCGTCGGCGTCGTGGTTGTGGTCATGCTCGTGGTCGTGGTCGTCGTCGTCGAGGCCGTTGTCGTGGTCGTGGCGGTGGCCGTCGTCGTTGTTGTCGCGGTCGTGGTCGTGGTCGTGGTCGTGGTCGCGGTCGTGGTGGTCGTCGTCGTCGTCGTACTCGTGGTCGTGATTGTGGTCGTCGTCGTCGTCGTGATTAATGTGGTCGTGGTCGTGGCAGTCGTCGTCGTTGTGGTCGTGGTCGTCTTCGTGCTTGTGCTCGTGGTCGTGGTCGTCGCCGTCGTCGTCGGTCGCCGTCTTCGTGGTCCTTCTGGTCGCGAGGACATCGTCGTGGTCGTGGTCGTGGTGGCGGTCGTCGTCGCCGTTGTCGTCGTCGTTGTCGTCGTGGTCGTGGTCGTGGTCGCTGTGGTCGTGGTCGTGGCAGTCGTCGTCGTTGTGGTCGTGGCAGTAGTCGTGGTCGTGGTCGTGGTCGTCGCTGTGGTCGTCGTCGTCGTGGTCTTTGTCGTGGTCATCGTCGTCGTCGAGATGGCCGAGGTCATCGTCGTAGTCGTCGTCGTGGGCGTGGTCGTGGTCGTCGTCGGCCGTGGTCTTGGTCGTGGTCGTTGGTCGTGACCGTGGTGGTGGTAGTGGTGGTCGTCGTCGCCGTCGCCGTTGCCGTTGCCGTCGCGATCGCCGCAGCCGCCACCGTGGTCGTCGTGGTCGAGGTTGGCGTTCTGGTCGGCATTGTGATCGTGGTCGAGGTCGTTGTCGAAGTCGTGGTCGTCATCGCCGTCGTAGCGGTCGTCGCTGCCGTCGCCGTCGTGGTCTTGGTCGTCGTCATCGTCGGCGTGGTCGTCGTCGTGGTCGTGGTCGTGTTCGTGGTCGTGGTCGTCGCCGTGGTCGGTATGGTCGTGGTCGTCGACGTCATCATCGTCGTGGTCGTCGCCGTCGTTGTCAGTGTGGTCGTGGTCGTGGTCGTGGTCGTGGTCGTGGACGTCGTCGTCGCCGTGGTCGTCGTCGTGGGCGTCGTCGTGGTCGTGGTCGTGGTCGTGGTCGTGGTCGTAGCCGTGGTCATGGTCGTCATCGTGGTCGTGGCCGTGGCCGTCGATAGTTATGGTCGTGGTCGTCGTCGTCGTCGCGGTCGTCGTCGTGGTGTCCGTCGTCGCCCGCGTCGTCGTCATGGAGGTGGTCGTGGTAATCGTCGTCGTCGGCGTGGTCGTCGTCGTGGTCGTGGTCGGCAGTCGTGGTCGTGGTCGCCGTCGTCGCCGTCCAGCCGTCGCCGTCGCAATCGCCGCCGCCGCCGCCGTGGTCGTCGTCGTTGTGGTCGTGGTCGTCGTCGTCGTGGTCGTCGTCGTCGTGGTCGTGGTCTTCGTCGTGGTCGTGGTTGTCGTCGCCGTGACCGCCCCCATCGCCATCGTGGTCGTCGTCGTGGTCGGGGTCGTGGTCGGGTCGTCGTCGTCGTGGTCGTGGTCGTCATCGTCGTCGTCCTCGTGGTCGTGGTCGCGGTCGTCGTCGTCGTCGTGCTCGTGCTCGTGGTCGTGGTCGTCGTCATGGTTGTGGTCTGGGCCGTGGTCGTGGTCGTCGTCGTCGTGGTCGTCGTCGTCGTGGTCGTGGTCGTGCTCTTGGCCGTGGTCGTCGTGGTCGTGGTCGTGGTCGTACTCGTCGTCGTGCCCAGCCCTCGGGCAGGTCGCGGGGGTCGGCGCTCAAATGAGGTGGACGCTGGGCGTCCCTCGCCACGGCGTCGGGCCCGCTTTCGGCTTCCCCTCTCGCGCCGAGGACGAGCTCCTCGGACGGCGTGGCCGCCAGAGGCCAGGCGATCCGGGAAGCTCGGCGCCATCCGCCATCCTGATATTATATATTCGCGCCCAACGCCCGGACAGAGGCAGGAAGGTGGCACTTTCACACACACACACACACAAGAAACCTTCCACGAGAAACCCAGCCCTGAGACCCCTGGATGTCCATCGACTCCTGGCCGTGGAAAAAGGCACGCCCCCCACGGCAGGACCATCGAAACCCGGGAACCCCAGGGGCACCCTGGAGGCAAGCAGCTTACCCCCCCACCCCGCGGCAGCCCGCGCGGAGGCGGCGCCCGCCCGCCACCCCTCCCATGCCGCCACCACCCTCGGGAGGCTGCCGAGGCACCGCAGGCAGGCTCGCGCCGCGACGACCCCCGGCGCTGGCCTCCAACACAGCGTGGATCGTTCGCCTCGGAACGATCCGCGGCTTGCAGGAGCGTCGAGACGGGTTGCCCCATGCAGGCGGGGGGCAGCCGGAGCGCTGGATCTTGAAGGATCCTGCAGGGCCAGGGCCGCATGGACCCGGGCTTGGGCGCAGGATCCTACCTACAGGATCTTGCAGGGTCCTTCGCATTGACCTGGGTTCAGGTGCGGGATCTTGCATGATCTTGTAGGACGCTGCAGGGCCCGACTGACCCGGGCCAGGACTGACCCGGGCCAGAAGATCCCCGAGGCTTTCCACGGCGGCGCGCCTGGGGGCACAGAGAGGGAGAACGCCTTCTCTGCTCCGGCGCGCGGAGCGCCGGGGGCGGCGCCGGAGGCGCCGCCAGGGGGCCCCAGCGCGGACCCAAGAAATCCGCGCGGAGCGCCAAAAGTATATGTTTACGGCGTTTTTGTTCTCTTCTTCGATTCTCAGCAGGCGCCGCGGCTTCTCGGTCTGCCGCGTCTTCGGGGAAGGCTTGGAGAACTTCTCAGAGGGCCGGCGACCTTCCGAGCCCTCTGGGAAGGCACGCCCCTCCTTACTTCCCCCCTGGGCTCGCAGCCGACTGACATAGCGTGGATCGTTGAACCTCGAACGATCGGCAGCTTTTCGATCGCCAGATCGTTCCATGTTGTCCGATGTCTGGGCCACTGACGGCGTTCGAACAGCGATATGCCCCCGACAAAGTCATCCCCCTCCTCCTCCCCTCCTCCTCCACCTTCTCCTCCCCCTCCTCCTAATTACCACTCCTCCTCCTCCTCCTCCTCCTCCTCCGCACCTTCATGGACGGGGTGGGCCATCAGGCCCCTATCGGCGATGAACGGGCGATCGGGGGTCGGTCGATGCAGCCCCCTTGAGCCGATCCCACCCCTGACGTTGTCCCTGAGGCCCACGCTCCGAAGAGAACCCTGGCCATCGGATGTCTGAGTCACCCAACGTCGCGCTTCGCGCAAGGCGAATCGTGGCGACCTTCGGCAGAAGAAGAGAAGGATGCACAGACATCCGCTGTCGCATGTCCACGCAGATGTCCCAGATCGGCGCCAGACCCCCCCTCCCCAGCGCGCTTCGAAAGTGTCTGTGTATGCAGCGTGTTCTTGTTCGAATTGCTCTTCACGGCAACAACAAGGTCACCCGGCCCCAAGAGTCACTCAGGCCGATGTCCGCCCGGGATCCATCTTTGATGGCCCTGGGCGTGTGAAGATCTGATGTGTTCTCGTCGGGGTTGCTATTCACTCTCTGTCCGATCGAATCCCCTGGTCGTCCCACTCGCCTTCTTGGGGTCACACGCCCGCTCGTTCCACCACTCTGCAACGCCCTCGGTTCCGAAAACCTGGTGTCGTGCGCATGTGTGAGGGGGCAGGGTCAGCCCGAAGGCTGGCCCCCGAGGCCGGGATCGAAGAAGGACGCCCGGAGCGACAGAGGCTCTACCGTGGTGGGCGGGTTCTTGTTCGGCGTTTCGACATTGGGCAGGGGGGTCTGGCTCCTGACCTTTGCTCAGCGCGGCTGTTTGCGACAGTGCGTCCGGTAGAGGAGACTCCACCTGCTCGACACAGGAGACAAAAGAACAGCCAAGTTCTACTCCACGGGGGGGGGAGAGAGAGGGGGTTGGGGGGCCCGCGCCGATCGGCAAAACATTGAATAAAGAAACGATCACGAGGAGGTCAGGGGTATTTACGCAGCTGTTTCTCCCTCGACCTCGTACACCCGCGCCCCTCCCCTGGGGAAGGGCACCCCCCCAAGCCCGGACCACGAGGTGATCTTCGGATCTCCCGTGAAGGGGGACCTGGGCGAACAGGACAGGACGAGGACGGAAGACCTTTTTCCTCCTCTGTCACCCGCAGAAGCTCTGTATGGATATGGAAGTGAGCTGGCGCCGCTGGAGACCTCCCGGATGGCGTCCCAGAGATGTTCTTCAATATGTCTGGTAATGGTCGTTACCCTTGGGTGGGGGCAAAGCAATTTGGGACCCACGCAACCAACTGTAACGCTTGGGGGGGTGGGGCACTTCGGGGCACTAAAAACGGGGGGTCCAGGCACACACCCCCTGCGTGCGATCGTTACCGTCACCATAATGAGCCGGTGGGGGAGGGGGGTTCGGCCCGGGTAACGACCGTTACGCGCCAGAGGGTATAGAGACAATCTCCCAAAAGATGGTGTCGGAGGATCGCTCCGCATCGCCAATGCATAGCCGATGCCTCGCCGATGCATCCGCGATGCATCCCGCATCCGCGACATAGGTGATGCATCGGCGACGCATCGGCGATGCATCGACAACGCACCGGCGCAGTCGGCGTGTAGAAAATCGGGCTCCTTTTCGAGACGCATCGGCGACGCATCGGCGACGCGGCGCGATCCTCCGACGAGGCGACGCCAGGACGAGGATTACATGCGGTAAGGCTGAATCGAGAATCTCTGAGACCCGGCGGCCTTCTCAGAGCGTCCCAAAACGCTCTGGAACGGATTCATCCTAGACTGTTTTTAGGGTCCGGCGATAACCCGGGCTATCGGGCTTGCCCCCCCCCCTCCCCCCAGGATAATCTGACCTTGCCGGCTGTGCAGGTCCGGGGGGGGGCGCGGGCATATGCGGGGCTGCCCCCAGCGCAAAGGTTAGGTTATCGGCCGGCCCCCTCCACCTCTGACCTTCCAGGAGGGCTAAAAAATAGCACCAGGATGTGGATGCCCTACTTTCTGTCGAGGGTTGAGGCAGTCCAGACGGGTCTATAGGCCTGGAGTGCTATTTCTCAGCACGCTGGAAGGTCAGGGGCCGGACAACCCGGGCCGTCGCCGATGCAAAACAGACGGTCTCCAGCCCCATCCGACCCCACCCGGTGAAGAGCCCACCCGCGGGAGGCCCGGGCGTGCCGTGGAGGCCCGCCGCCCCGAGCGCAGAGGGCGGGGCGCGGCCGGCCCCTCCCCGGCTCCTCGGTGCCCGCCCGCCGCGGCGAGGCACCGCTGGAGGAAGGAAGAGCGGCAGCACAGCCGGACCCCCGGCACGGCAGAGCGCCCTTCCAGTGGGCGCCGCGCCAAGTGCGGGGGCGCCGCGCCAAGTGCGGGGCGACGAGGGGGGCGGGGGGGCGCGGGGGGGGGGGGGGGGGGGGGGGGGGGGGGGAGGGGCGCACCCCTCGGGCCCCACGGGGCCCCCCTCTGGGGCCCCAGGACGGGGCCCCCTCAGGGGCCGCAGGGGGCCCCCCACGCCTGCAGCCCTCGCTGCCCCCCCCCCCCGTGCATCGCCCCCCCCCGTCACGCGGCGCCCAAGCAAGAACGCGGGGCCCTCCGCGGGCCAGCACACACGAAGAACATCAGGGCGCCCTCCCCGAACCGATCTCGATTTCTCATACGTCGATCCGACGTTGGCAGAAAAAATGTCGGAGCTCCGCTGGCGGCGCCGAAGGCACCGCCGAGGGGGGCCCGGCGCCGATCCAAGAAATCCGCGCGGAGAAATGTACACCCTGCGAAATGCTTTAGAAATCATGGGTTAAGAATTTCATAGTCTCAGAATCTGAATGAATATCCAGAATGTCTTTTAAAATCTTGGGATTTACATTGAAAAATTAAGAATAATCGAGACTCTGGCCGAAAACTTAGGTTTTCTTAAGCATCGCCTGTGGTGTATGGTCATGCTGGTCTTCCTTCCTCGAGTAAGACGAAGCCAGGACAGGGACAAAATCGGACCGCAACACATCGAGGACCTCTCAGATCCAGCGGTTCTGGGGATGTGTCGGGCGCTGCGGCCTTCTCAGAGCGTCCCAAAACGCTCTGAGAGCGTTCGGGCACGCTCTGGAACGATGTCTCCCTGTCATCAAAGTACCGATGCCGCTACTCCGTGGACCTCTCACGGGGTGCGTTCTGGCCAGGATTCCGAGGCAAATTCAGCGGTGGCGACGAGGGCCTCCCACAGAGCCCCACAAAGGGGGAAACGGGAGATGGGTAGGTGTATCGGTAACTGTTCCTCTTCTGATCCTCGCCTCTCCTCGTCCTAGCCCCGCCCGATGGAGAGACACCGTGGGCGACCCGCGTGGCACGCTGCACCGAGCTCCTCACGACTGGACCGGAGGCAGCTGCCTGGTCGGCTTCGGGAAGGGCACCTGCCGCACGCCGGCGAAGAGCGCAGGCTTGAAGGACTCGGGGACCTCGTCGCCCATGACGGGGCTGTTGCGGAAGCGCTCGACGTTGGCCTGCAGGCCCTGCGTGTGGGAGAGGCCTGCGCAGCAGAGCTTCAGGGACGCGGAGCGGGGCCAGAGGCGCTGATTGTCAAACTTGGCGATCAGGTGCTGCACGTGCTCCTCGCCAGTCAGATTCACGAAGGCATAGCCCATGCACTGCTTGATCTTGAAGTCGAAAGGCATGTCCGCCACCGTGCCTTCTGCAAATTGGGGCGTGTTAGTCGGCTCCTTTGCTGCCTGGTAAGGTCTCTGTCATGTTTTCCTAGACCTGGCTAAAGAAAACATGTCCACCGCCGAAGCTGGGCAATTTCCCAGAAAGAAACTATTATCTAAAAATGCCCCAGATAGGCTCTGACTGCCAGCAACATGTTTAAACACGTCCCAAGTAGCAAGAACTAATGCATACGATAACCAAAACGGCCCCAAACAGCCAGGATCGCCTCAAGAAGGCCAAGAGGCCCCCAAGGCGGTCACAAGACTGCCCAAGGAGCCTCCATACGCTACAAGAGGGCCCCAGGACGGCCTAAACACGCCCCAAGAGAGGCCCCCAAGACGGCCCAAGAGGGCTCCCAGAGGAAGCCCAAGAGGCCCTCCTGATCAAGAAAACACGAGTTTTCCAAAGCATCATGTCCTGGCTCGCGAGATGCCCTAGATTGCCCAGGTGGTCCCCAAGATGGCTCCAAGACGCCCAAAGACGGCCCACGGGGGCCCAAAGCAAGAGGCCCATCGAAGTCTCTCGGACGCCCCCGAGAGGCCCAAGAGACCCTCTAGAGGCATCCCGGAGGTCCCCCGCAGACCACCAAGCCCCCCCCAAGCGGACCTACAAGGCTCCCGAGGGTCCTTCAAGAAGCTCCAGAAAAGCTCCAAGATGCTTCCTTAACCTCAACCTCATTCACGCTGCGCTGCGGCGCTGGTGCAGTAGCGGGGTCTGCTGCAGGCAATCGGATAGACGAAATCGTAAAGCCCTGAAAAGCCGTGCTTGTTCAGAGTCCGAACCAGGTCCTTGCGCGTGTAGCCGCGTGGCAGGTTGCGCAGCATCACCGTCGTAGTCACCTGCGGCTCGCTCCATGACTGGCCCCTGATGCCCGCTGCCTGCGAGCCCAGGGATTCCGAAACCACTTGCGGGACGAACGCAGAAGCCTTGCTGCTGAGCGGGACGAACGGGACGAAAGCAGAAGCCTTTCCGCTGAGAGGTGTGCGCTCGTTCTGCGACGACGGTGCGAGAACTGCCTCCAGCGCCAACGCCGTCTTCTCGCTCACCTTGGGGGCAAGGTCGGCGCTGCCCATGAAGCCGCTGAGGAGGGATGACATTCCTCCTTGAGGGCCTGGTGGGCCGCTGAGCCCCGCAGAGGAAGGATGAAACTCCTCGTCGGAGTCAGTCTCCAGGTCGGCCCAGGCGCCAAGACCGGCAAGTGGTGCGATTGCGGAGGAGTCGTCGCAGTCCACGCGCTGCTGGGAGATGGCACGGGGAGCGGCAAGAGAGGGACACGAGCAGCTACGACGCAGACCTTCAGCTGCAGAGCTTGCCTCCTCACTCACGGCGTAGACGAATGTGTTCTTGACAGTGACGTTCAGTTCCATATCAAAAAGCTGCGTATGATGATGAGTACAGTATAAGCAAGATGAGTGTGTGTAGGATAAGGTAAGTGGTATGAAGACGCACGGTGCTCGGTGTCTTATTGCGCGAACAGCGACTTGAGCCAAAATGGACACAGTTGATGACAACGGTGATGATCGTCGTGACGATGACCATCAGTTGGTGGCACCCCGCCGAGAGCTCGGCGCCAGAGGCGGCTCCTAAAGTCAGTTTCCCCGCATCCAAATTGGGGTTCTTGCCTTCTCTGCGCACATGGACACAAACACCCCGCGCAGGATCTCCTCCTTCTCCTCCGCCCCCTACTCCTTCTCACTCACTCTCTCACCCACTCACTCACATCCTCGCACACTCACACACTTCTCCTGATCCTCCTCATCATCGCTCACTCACACACCCACTCACTCAAACACTCATCATCATCCTCACGCACGCGCTAACTCACTCAAGCGGGAACCCGATCCCTAAGCGCCACGTACTTCATGTTCGGATCCGAGGCGGGTCATCGGCGTACCATAGCAGGCATAGCAATTGAGCACCCTACAGACCCTCGTCTGTGAGTGAATTGTAAGGAAGTTTCGAGCGGGAGCACCCTCCCGAAGGGCCCCGCACTTCACGTTCGGGTACCACAGAGAGCATAGCACTTAGCACCCTAAGGAGTCTCGTCTGTGAGTGAATTGTGAGGAAATCTCGAGCGGGAACTCCCTTCCGAAGGGTCCCGCACTTCATGTTCCAATCCGACGCCGCTCATCGGCCTACCATAGCAGGCAAAGCACTTCAGCACCCAACGGAGCTTCGTCTGTGCATGAACTGCGAGAATGTCTCGAGCGGGGGCCCCCTCCATAAGGGCCCCGCACTTCAAGTACTCGTCCGATGCGGGTCATCAGCCTACCATGTACCACAGCAGGCGTAGCACTCGAGCACCCCAAGGAGTCTCGTCTGTGCGTGAACTGCGAGGCAGTCTCGAGGGGGGAACCCCTTCCGCGAGGGCCCCGCGCTTCGTGCTCGAACCCACAGCGGGCCCTCGGAGCACAAATGTACTGGGCATAGCACTTGAGCACCCCCGAGGAGCCGCGTCGCTGAGCGGACTGCGACGACGTCTCGATCGGGAGCACCCCCCTCGAGGGCCCCGCGTGTCGTGCTCGAAGCCGAGGCGGGCCATCGGCGCACGATGGCAGGCATAGCGCTCGAGGCCTCCAAAGAGAGCCTCGCATGTGAGCGAGTCGTGAAGGAACTCCGAGCGGGAGCACCACCAAGGGACCACATGCGAACCCTACCCCGGCCCCCCACGATTTCCGAGACATGGGGAGGGCGGGGTTCACTTCAGAAATCGTGGGGGGGGTAGGTGGAGGTTTCGCCATGTGTGCCCCTGACCATCCTGGAGGGCCCCGCGCCTCACGTTCTACCTCGCAGCGGACCATCGCCCCACCGTAGCAAGCATAGCACTTGAGCGCTCCAAGGAATCTCGTCTGTGAGTGAACTGCGAAGAAATCTCCAGCGGGAACCCCCTGCGCAAGGGCCCCGCACTTGATGTTCGAATCCGAGGCGGGTCATCGGCCTTCCACAGCAGCCATAGCAGTTGCGCACCCCAAGGTGCTTCGTCTGTGAATGAATTGTGAGGAAGCCTCGAGCGGGAATCCCTTCTGCAAGGACCCGGCGTTTCATGTTCGCATCCGAAGCGGGCCATCGGCATACAACAGCAGGCATAGCACTTGAGCACCCCAAGGAGCTTTATCTGCGACTCAATTGTGATGAAGTCTCGAACGGCACCCCCCTCCTAAGAGCTCCAAACTTTACGTTCGAATCCGAGGGGGGCCGTCGCCCCACCGTAGCAAGCATACCACTTGAGTGCCTCAGGGAGCCTCGTCGTTGACTGAAATGCGAGGAAACAACGAGCGGAGATACACTCCAGAAGGGCCCGGCTCTTCATGTTCGAATCCAAAGCGGGCCATCGGCCTACCACAGCATGCATGACACTTAGAGCACCCCAAGGTGCTTCGTCTGTAAGTGAATGGTGAGGAAACCTCGGAGGGAGCGCGTTTCACAGGCGCTTGCCTTGGGAACATTCGGCGGCGCGTTTTGAACCGGGGGGAGCCCACCCCCTCAACTTTCCGCGCCGTCCATCAGAACCAGAGGGGATGCCCCTCCCCCTTACCCCCCCCCTCCCCGAGTCCCCCCTCCGACTCCGAACACAAATCGCCATGTCGAGACCTCGCCCCCCAAAAGCCACCGGGAAGCCCTTAGGAAGGTACAAGAGACGCTCAAGAAGCGCCCAGGAGGCTTCACAAATGCTCCGCAGACGCCCCCGAGACAGACCCCTCTAACGAGACCCGAAGAGGCATCCATTAGAACCCTGACCCAAAGCCAAGGCACGGTGGCGGAAAGACCCGAACCCCACACCACCACCACAACCACCACCACGAATCACCACACCAACACAACCACCACCGCCGCAACCACGACAACCACCACCACCACAAAACCATCACACCACCACCACCACCACAACTAGCACCGCCACCACCACCACCCACCACCCGCCACTACCACCAGCACCACCACCACCACCACCACCACCACCACCACCACCACCTCCACCAACAACAACAACAACCACAACAACAGCAGCAGCACCACCACTACCACCACCAACAACCACAACCACAACAACAACAACAACAACAACAACAACAACAACAACAACAACAACAACAACCAGCAGCAGCAGCAGCAGCAGCAGCAGCAGCCCCACCACCACCACCACCACCACCACCAACAACAACAACAACAACAACAACAACAATCATTTTACCCGAACGCGTGGTGTTCTCCCCAGTGCCAGGGTTTTCATACGACACCAGGCAATACCCCCACTTCGTGGGGGGGCATTACAAGCTCTACCAAATATCCAAACGACTCTTCGCGACCACCCAAACCCAGCTTCCCGCCCTATGACGTTGGGACACTTCACTTCGTGGCGTGCGGACGACCGTGGCTACTACACTGGCGTGGGGTACACACCCACAGAACCCAATGGTTTTTGGAGATTTCGGCGTGCGCGCGCGAAGAAAAAACGAATGTGTCCCGCATGGTATTATTTGACAGGGATGATGGCCCTGGCAGGTGCGCAACCGTTGTCGCAGAAGTTCGAAAAAGTTGCTCGCAAAAGCCCGTTTGACAGAAATGTTTAAAAAGTGTTGGTTTTCCTACGAATCCGCAAGAGCGCGCGGGATGAGATTTTGACATTTTTTTGTTGAAAAACCATTGGTTTTTTGATGTTTTTATGTTAAAATCGCTCCGAACACTAAGCTTTTGGAAGGATTTCGTCTTGCGCGCGCGAATGTCCACTTTACCTTATTTTTTGCAAGGGATTCTTGAAATTTGATTATATTAGAACAAGAAATGTCATTTTATAGTGTTTTTTGCAAGGGAAAGCGGATTACAACAAAACAACCGGATCTTGATCACATCGTTTACCTGAGGCTTCCTCACGAAAATGATGAAAATGTAGCTGCGGCCTAGGCGGCGCAGGGGGGGCGCGCACCAGGGGGCCCAACAATAATTATTCTTTAGAATTAATAATGTTCAA